TTTCTCCTGGTCTGATTGGCCCATGAGGCAAGCGGGGGCCAATCTGTGCCTGGCTGCAAACCCCACCCTCCCCAGGCCCCCTCTGCTGTGGGCTGGTGCTGCCTGGGCTGGGGGCTGGTGACCTGGGGCCTCCCCGCGGGCGGTAACCACAGGGAACCCTGGTACCGGCAGTGACAGTATGGGCAGATGGCCCGTTGGGCTTCAGACGTTGTGGCGTGTCCCAGAGAAATCGGTGTACCACAAGCTGGCCTGGCCAGGCCCATCCTGACGACGGCTCGGGGGTATTTACCAGGTGTGGCACAGACAGCACAACCCCCTGGCACTGGGGACTGAGGCCCAAGTGACTGTGCCTCTCTGCCCCAGAGTCCGGCCAGCAGGGACGACTGTCCCTCCAGGCTCTGAGCGAGCCGTGTGCATGGACGTCGGATTGTCCGGAGCAGCTGCCGCAGCCCCTGCAACCTGCGAGGGACAGAGGCCTGTCCCCCCCCCCCCGCGCCAAGGGCTGCCCCCACGTGATCCAGTCATCAGGCCCAAAGCGTTTCCTGGAGGTCTCCCTGTGGAAGTGGCCTCCTGCTATTGGGTCATGCCGTGCTTTGTTTCAGACGCTGTGGTTTTGACCTGCACCAGCGCCTCTGGATAGGAAGGCACCCCCATGGTGACGCGCCCCCTCGCAGCAGGGTCATGAGGCTGGCAGGGCAGGAGACCCTGGGCTGGGGGCAGCGCAGTGGGCAGCCAGGTGGGGGCGGTGAGCAGTGCACTCAGGCCACTTGGCCGGAGGCCCCGTCCCCACTAGGGTCTGTCTGTGCCTGGGTGGGAGCCTCTCTCCCCATTTCCTGGGGTGGGGGGGTTCAGTTTGGACCCCATTGCCCTGGCTCCTCTGAGGGTGGTAGCGGGGGCAGGGCTGGTACTGGCCCGGCTCACTCTGTCTTCGGCCGGCAGCACCTGCAGCTGATCCGGCAGGAGCTGGCCGTGTGCCCCTCGCAGCTGAGTGCCTTCCTGGACGCCCTGCGCCCGTACCTGCGGGCACGCTGCGGCGAGGAGCTGCTTCCAGTGAGTAGCCCGCTGATGCCCGGCAGGGGCTCGGTGCTGGCTGCCCCACCCAGGCAGGGGTGGGAATGGCTCCAGCGCCCCGCCCTCAGCTTACTCCTTTGAGACGTGGGGGCCCCTGGCAGCGCGCCCCACTCGCTGGAGCAGCAAGCGTGCAGGGCCTGGGAGCTGGGGCCCGGGGGCTCCTTCCTTAGCCCTGGCCTGGTCCGCAGTGCGAACTTAGTCAATGTGGAAGGAACAGGGGAGGCGTAAGGGCAATGCCCAGGCCCTGCTCGCTCTCCTCCTCATCCCTGCTCCAAACTCGGCTGCCCGCCCTGTCCAGCCCCTGAGGCCCATGCTGCTCCTGGGCAGGGTGGAGCCCAGGAGCCGTGGGCTGTCCCTATGCAGCGAGTGCTGCCTCACCCCTGCACCTGCTCACTGTCTTGCCTGGCTGCAGCCCTGCCCAGTTTCTCCCTGGGTACAGGGCTGTGACCCAGGCCCATGCAGTGGCCGTGCCAGGGTGGGGGGAGGCAAAGCAGGTGGCTGCCCGAGGGAGTCAGGGTTCAGCCGGGGGAGGTGTGCAGCACAGAGGTGGCCTCCAGGCCTCCGGACCTGCAGGCCCAGGGAAGGGGAGCATCTGGGGCCGGGGGGCAGGCAGGGGGAGCTGGTCGGGCCCTGCTCTGTGGGGGACGCTGGAGCACACCACGCAGGAGCGGGACTCGGTTGTGGCTGTAGTGTCCACAGCTGGAGGAGCGGAGGTGGAAGCACCCCTGCACGTGGTGATCGTGCCCCCAGCACCGCCCTGCACAAAGCTGTGAACCACGGACTCCCTCTGCCCAGGGCCGCAGGACCAGGCTGCTCCCCCTGGGGGCAGGGGGTGTCCACACTGCCCCCAGCCCTGCCTGCCCTGTCTGTCCCAACCGTGGGGGTAGCCCCGGGTGGGCCTGTCAGGTGGGGGGCCGTGGTCAGAGGTGCCAGCTCAGTGCCGTTTCGGGACAGAGCCGGTCAGGACAGGAATGGCCTGACCGGGCCTCACATGCGGTGCGGTCAAGTAGTGCCCTGAGCATACCGTCCTCTCGAGCGCCAGGGCTACCCTGCGAGGCCGGTCCTGCTCTAGTGGGGGGGTGGGTATGTTATGGGGATCCAGCGCCTGGGCGGGCCCCTCCGTGTTGCTCCAGGCCCGTCCCTGCCTTGCTGCCCCCGAGCAGGTGCCGGCGCGGGAGGGAGGCCCCTGGGCGTGCCTGCGCCCCCGCTGTGCCTCACCCTGCTGCCCTCCCCCCCGCCCCCCGCAGCATCGCCGCCCGTGAGGCTGTCAGACGGCGCCACCTTCGTCATCTACGAGTTCTGGGAGACGGAGGAGGAGTGGAAGAGGTGGGGGCCCGGGCGGCCCTTACTGCAGACTGGGCCCAGCTCTGGTTCTAGGACTTGCTGGAACCAGGACAGCCCAGCCCCGCACAACATCTGCTGGACCCCTCCATCTTTCCTGCCCTGAGAGCCGCCAGGACGGTCAGGCTTGGCAGGGGGGAGGCAGGGGAAGTGGCCCAGCGGAGGGCTCAGGGTACCCCAGACACCTGTTCCTTATTCCTGGGCCTTGGGGTAAACCCCTTGGTGCCAGCTGCAGGAGGCAGGTGATAACCCCACCTCCGGAGAGGTGGAATCGTGGACGAGTGGCCATGGGGCCCTGGAACCGTCTCAGGGTGTGGAGGCTGGTTCTGTGCCCAGGGACCTGCTGGGCCCTGGCAAGAAGCGGGCAGTGCACCCCCTGCCCCGCCACTCAGGCTCCAGCCAGGGATCAGAGACCAGAGACGGGTCCAGGGTTAGGCCCTGCGCCGGCAGCCTGGGGCCTCGACCTCACTCAGCCCGCCCCTGGCTTGCAGGCACCTGCAGAGTCCTGAGGGCAAGGCCTTCCGGCACGCCAAGGTGGACGCGCTGAGCCAGCCCGAGGCCCTCTCGCGGATCGCCGTGCCAGGTACGGGAGGGGAGGCCACCCCCCTGGGGGGGTCAGGGAGTATCCTTGTCCCCACACACGCTGCTGCCACTGCGGACAGCGGCCAGGGAAACAGCAGGAGTGGGCAAGAGCCTCAGCCTTGGCAAGGCCCAGTACTCATGGGGGACACGAGGGTGCCCCCTGCGCCTCCAAGGGCTCCCCCCCCCCGCTGCCTCCCCCTGTGCAAGACCTTCAATCCCGCCTGGCTGCAGCAGGGCCCCACAGACACTGGCCCCGGGCGGCCCCCTCAAACCCGGACAGTCGGTCCCACCCGGCTGGCTGACGCGTCTCTCCCGCCCTTCTCAGCGGCCTGGTGCACCGTGGCCGGGAATGACCCCTCGCCGTGCCTGCAGCCAAGGAGCCGGCGGCGCTGCCCCGTTTCTAGAAGGCTCTTGCGCTCACTGCTGTGTTCTCGCAAGAACGTCCTTCCGCTGCTCCGACTGGGCGGGGGGTGCCTTCCCCCCTCCCCAAAAGGAACAGCCTCCAAGTGGGGTGCCCGGCTCCCCCCTCTCCAGCCAGCCGAGGCGCAGCAGGACTCCCCCCAGGCGGGGCACCGCGGCCCCCCCTTCCTCTTCCCGTAGGAGCCGTGACCCTGTAGTGCCTACCCTGGGCATGGGCGGAGCCCACGTAGCCTGCGCTGTGACGCCGACAGCGCACCCAGCACCCATAAACGCTGCTCAGGAGTGGGCCGCCCGCTGTCTGCCTCCGTTTTCCGGACACTGCAGGTGCACAGGGTGGGGGGCCTCCCACCATGGCCCAGTGGGGCGTCCCTGAGTCTGGGGGGCTCTGTCCCCCTGATGTTGCCATCAGCACCGACCCTCCTGCCGCCCAAGCCCACGAAGTATCCACAGCGACACGGGCGATGCCGGACAGCCCCAAGCGCAGGGTTTGTACCCCACGAGGACGGAGCCCAAGCCGGCAGCGGAGTCTGGGGGTAGGGAGGAAGAGAGCAGGGTCCAGCCCTGGCCTCTGCCCCGCACACAACAGGGCAGGTGGGGGGTGGCCCCGAGAGCTGCCAGGCAAACCATGTGCTGAGGCCCAGAGAAGGGCACTGAGGCACGGCAGCATCGGGCGGGCCAGCCTGGGCACCCAGGCCACCTCCTGCCCCGCCCGACCCTCTGAGTGCTGTCCCTCCCTAATCCCCCAGGCCTCTGCCTGCGGCGGCTCCCCCACCCCTGGTAGCGGTGGACGCCTGCCACGCACACACATCCCACCGAACACAGGGTGGGGCCGGAGGAGGGAGCGGGGCCTCGGGTCTCTGTCCCCATCCCCACTCCTGCTGGCTGCGCCTGGAGGTTCTGTCTGCAGGGGGCTGAGGCTGCCCCTTCCTCACGTCCTGCCTGCGAGCCCCCGAGTGGCCTCTGCTGGAATTGGGGTAGGGGGCTCTGAACAAACTCGGTGCCAGCCCCGGCAGCAGGAAGCACCCCCCACTCCGGGACAGGGGGTCCCACTCCGTGCTCGGCCTTGGGCGGAGCGATGACGAGCGAGCAGGTGGCTCGGGTGAGACCCAAGTCCTGTCTGCAAAGCCGTGCCCTGGCGATGGGCGGGGTGGCGCCCGAGGAGCCCACTCCCCGAGTCAGTCCCCGACGGCAGCGGACGGGATTCTCACGTGGCCCCGCGCGGGGTGCACCAGGCCCTCAGGAACCGGGAGCTGTGGCAGAGCTGGCGAACAGGCTCACCGCGGCCACACCCACTTCCGCAGGACTCAGCGACTCCGCCCACCAGAAACACTGGTCAGATGCACTGACTCCGCCCCAGGAGACCCGCAGCCTCGGGAGGAGGGCAGAGGGGCAGGGTCAGCGGGGAGCACAGCCGCGGAGATCCCCCACCCCGGACTGCACCGTCTGGTCTCTTACCTCCATCTTACACTCTGCCCAGCCCTGCTGGCCCTGCTCGGAGCTCTGTGCCTGCGCTCACCAGTGGCTCCAGGCTGGCACCACGCCGGGGGCAACGTGCGATCTGGACCCAGCGTTTCCCCGAGGCACAGGGAGCCTGCAGCCCCCAGGCACAGAGCAGGGGGCTAGGCAGGGGCTGGCCACGGGCAGAGCTGCGGCACCTGCGGGGGGCGCTTGTGCTCGGCTCTCAGGCCCCTGCCTGAGCGGATGCGTGGCCTCAGCCCCCTGCGGAGGAGTGTGGAGAGAGGCCCACAGGAAGGGCGTTGGGAAGAGCACGGATGCGGGAGGAACCGAGCCGGGGAGCACACACGGGGAGCATGGGGGGACAGCAGCCGGAGCAGGAAGCGCCCAACACAGGCGCAGGGGCAGCAAGGCAGGCTGGGCCGGCCCACGCGGCTGGGAGGTGGGAGGCAGCAGGCAGCCCCCGCCCAGCCCTGCCTCAGGCCCCGAGTGCCTCCCCTTGCCCCGGGGGACACCAGGTCCGCCAGCCGAGCCGGGAGGGCCCTGGTGCCTGAGCAAGACCAACCCTAGATGCTGTGAGCTGGGACGGGGCGCCCCGCCCGCACCCCTGTGCCGCAGCCCTGGCCTTGCCACTCACGTCTTCACTGAGAGGGAAACTCGTCTCCCCGGGGCCACTGTCACCCCTTCAAAGAGAGAAACTCGTCTCCCCGGGGCCACTGTCACCCCCTCAACGCCCAGCGCCGCTCCGCTTCCTCCCCGATTTTCGGGTGATCCGTTTACATCCTGTTTCCCCTGGCCTGCCAGGAAGCCCGGCGTTGCCTTGTGAAGCTCGAGCCACGGTTTTCGGGGGTGCCCACTGTGTTGAGGCGCCCGCCACCCCCAGGACATGTCCTCACCTTGCCCCTCCCGGTAAGCCACGGGGCGCTACAATGAGCCCTCGCTGTGCGCGGAGAAAGCGGACGTTTAGCAAAGACTACGCCGCCCCGCTCAGACTGCAAAGGGCCAGAGTCCGCCCCCAAAGCGGGCCCCTGCCCTGCTCCTCATGCGGCCTGACCCCCGCCCACCACACCCGTTCCTCCACGACTCGGCCGAGGGGTTCGGCCCAGCCCTCGCCCTGCTGGCCGGCGTGGGGTGACCAGCGACTACTCCCCCGACACAGGTGTGGGCCAGTGAGGACCACAGGAGCACCCCATGGCCCTGCTGCCCGGGGTCAGCGCGTGCCCCATGGTGAGGGCCCCCCACCTGGGCTGGGCCTGAGGCTCGCTCGTGCCGTGCAATGCCCAAGGAAACGCGTGACAGAACTGACCCCCGACTTGCTGCCGGTCCCAGCTCTGCACCTAGCAGGGCTCCGAGCCTCAGGACCCCACGTCGGGAACCACGCCACCACGGAAGCTCCAGGAGCCACACGGCCAGGGCCACAGCCTGCAGGAACCAGCGCAGGCCCAGTCCTGGCGGGCGGCCATGTGAGTACGGGAGAGAGAAACAGAGCGCAGGGCTCCTCTCTGTGGCGATGAAACACCCCCAGACACCCCCGGTGCCGGCCACACAGCTCCATGTAGAGACACAAAGCCGAGTGCTATACCTTAGAGGGGTCAAAGTGCGACGCGTGTGGACGGCCAACTCAGCACTGTGGCCCAGTGTGTCAGCCCGCCTCCTGCTGGCCGAGGAGTCACCTGCAGCCACGGGTTAGGAGCTCTGGTTTCCTGGGGCACCAGGACGCTGTCCAGCCCCCGCAGGGTCAGCGCGGAGCGCGGGGCACAGCCCAGGAGCAGCCAGGCCCTCACTCGCCTCTCGTCTCCTGCCCCCTTCCGTGCCTTCCGCAGGGCCCCCAGGAGTGACTGTCTCGGCCCCACAGGGTCGGCGGCCCACGTGGCTCCCAGCCTATCAGGGGAGGCCACGGAGGCGTTCCTCAGGGCCCCCCAGTCCCATGGGGCGTGGGCCCAGAGCCCGGCGAGGCTAGCTGGGGGCACGCCTCTCTCTAGACGGCTCCCGGGCACGGGCAGGTTTGGGCACTGCCACCTCAGGGGATGCCACTTCTCACCTCCGGGACAAGCACCCCACATCTCAGATCTCGGCTGCAGCAAAGTGGGCTTCCCAGGCCTCAGCCCCAGCCCCACCATGAGGGCCCCGTGTCCCCCAGCGGAGGAACCCCCGTCCCACGCCTGGGTCCTGTGACCGTGGCCTCAGGCGGCCAGGGGATTTTAGCACAGCCTAAGCAAGCAGCTAGGATCCTACTATGCGAGGCCAGGTCTTCGCTGAACGACCACTGGACCAAACACAGGGGCCGTAGTCATGCAAGGCCCAAAGCGGAGACTGCAGTGAGACATCTCCAACCAGGGTGCCGGGACACCGGCAGCCACCAGCAGCGGGCAGGGTGCGAGGGGGGCTCCTCCCCTGGAGCCTGGGGAGGGAGCGTGGCCCCACTGGCACCTTTTCAGCACTCGTGGCCTGCAGAACCGTGGGCCACGTCCCAGGTGGAGGTCACTGGTCACAGCACACACAGAACCTAACGCGTTCCCTCCCAGTCGGCCTAGAGGCTGGGTGAGCAGAGCAGAGCAGAGAGAGAAGCGGGGGAGCGGAAGGCCTGCATCGCTCCAGCACCTTCATGGCAGACACAGAGCATACGGCGGTCACAGCCCCCGGCCTGGGGCGCGGCGGGGGCCCTCCCCACACTCAGGACAGCTCCCGAAGGCCTGCATCGCTCCAGTACCTTTATGGCGGACACAGAACACATGGCTGTCACGGTCGGTCACGGTCACAGCCCCAGGCGAGGGTGGGGGAGTTGGGGTTGGGGGCGGGGGCCTCCCACGCTCTCAGGACAGCTCCAGGATGGCAGCCAGCGTGCTCTGCCCGAAGATGAAGGTGCCAATCAGCACGGAGACCCACGCCCCAGGCCTCCAGGCAGCACCTGTCAATCAGAGACCCCAGTGAGCTCACGCTGGCCAGGGCGCGCGCCCCCACAAGACAAGCACATAAGGCAAACACGTGGCAGGAGCCCAGGAGCGCCTCCCGGGGACACGGGCCCGGCTCCGCCTGCAGGGAGGCTGCCGAGATGAGACCAAGCCCAGCACCCGGCATCTTAACACACACCCACACCTTCCCTCACCCTGTTCCTCGCTGGCGTTTACGAAGGCAGAGAACCGGGGGGAGGGGAGACAGCAGCTCCCCGCCCCCGTCCTCCGCACTCCTAAGCATCTGCTCCAGTGCGGGGCAGGCACTTCCATCACACAGGGTGCCACGGCCAGGGCACCGGGGACAGAGGCGGCGGAACGCAGGGCTGGCGGTTGCCAGGGTCCCCCCCCCAAGCCTCCTAAGGCAAAGACCAGAGCTGCAGACACAGCCCCGCCCCGTCCACAGAGGCCACGAGGAAGCATCTCACAGCCACGTTCATGGGGCACCGTGTGCCTGGTAGCAGCTCGGACAGGTCCGGTGGACCCGGAGCGGCCCTGAGGCTCATCCATCGAGGCTCCAGCGGCTGGGCTCACGGGCCAGGATGAAAAGCAGCGAGACCTCGCAGACAGCCGCGGGGAACACGCCGCGGGGACCAGCCGGCCCTCGGGGGCCCATTCTCGGCCCAGGGCAGGTCAGCGACGGCCAGCAAACTTCTCAATCTGGGAGGCCGCCAAGCCACTGGCTCCTTAGAAAACCAACTTGGGCTCAGCAGAGGCCGGACGAAGAGCGACAACAGAGGCACAGGCCCACGGCTGGACCCGCACCCGGACCACGGCTCAACAGCGGCCTC